CCCTACCCCCTGCACCCCTACCCCCTGCACCTCCTACCCCCTGCACCCCCTGCCCCCTCTCACCTCTCACACCCATCAGAACCGGGTGTGGGGCTGGGCCAGGTGGAGGCGGTAAAAATGCTGGGCCTCAGCCCCGCCCTGTACGACCGCATCCTGCGCTGGTACACCGACACAGGGGACTACAACTTCAACCCCGTCTACTCCATGTTCTCAGACTCCGTCTTCACCAAGGAGGCCTTTGCCTTTCTGCAGGCACACAACAGGTTCCCTTCAGGTACCCCCCCCCCAAAAAAAAACAAAAAAAAAAACGATTTTGTTTTGATTTTACATATACAAATGTATTGATTTTACATGTAGCCTACAAATGTATTTAATTATTCTAATTTCATTTTTTTCACCTCATTTTTTTTTCCATAAAAGATTTTAAAAATACATCTTTTTATATTTTAAAATTTTTGTCTCTTCTGCATTTCTTAAAATTTCATTCTTTTTCCTTTTTATCTTTTATCTTTATTTTCAACCTGTCCCAGTTTTTTTTCCTTCTCCATTTTGTCATCTGTTCAAGTACGACATCGATACCGTACTATTAATTAACGTGTTTCTATTTATTTGTGTCAATTTACTTTTCTTCGTGGTCCAAGCTCCCATCTTTTTAAAAAATGATCTAAGTTGTGTCGACTATTTTGTCACAGAAACAGATAGGTCTACACTCAATTCTTTTCGCCTGACCATCTGTCGTGTTTTCTTTATGTCATTGTTTTTAACCAACTTCTTTTGTTTCCTCATCTACAGGGACAGAGAAATATCGCTTTTCGCTTTGCTATCTGTTGTGCTTTCTTAGTAAGGTTGTAGTTTTTAATCAACTTCTTTTTTTTCGTTTTACCATCTGTTGCGTTTTCTGCAAGTCGTTTTGAAACTCCACGTCTTTTGCTTCCTTACTGTGAAGGTTGCTGTCATTTGAAGGTTGTTTTTAATATCACTATGTTACGTGTTCTTTGGGTCGTTGTTTTTAACCGGCTTCGTTTGTTTCGTTATCTACAGGAATTGGAACCTCTCACTTCTTTTTTATTTTACCATCCGTTGCATTTTCTTTAGGTCGTAGTTTTTTATCCAACTTGTTTCGTTCCGTTATCCACAGGGAAAAGTGACGTCGGTAGCCTAATAGTTAGGCTACCGGACTCGTAATCGTGAGGTTCAAGCCTCAGCTCGGTCCGACGTTGTGTCCTTGGGAAAGACACTTTACACGAACTTCCTACTTGGATCGGTCCTATCGGAGACGGATGTTAAACTAGGAGATCCCTTAAATATCCGCCCCTTAAATATCCTAATAGTTTTGATAGGGGCGTTAAACCCATGCCATTTCACCATTTATTTTTCACCACAGGGAACGGAACCTCTCGATTTTTGATGTTTAACCATAATGTGACGTACCTGGAGCCCTACTACCAGGGCACTCCGCACGCCTTCGACATCCCCTACCTGTTCGACATGGGCCCGGACCACATCCTCAACGCCTACTACGGGCTCCAGACGGGGAAGAACTTTACCCAGGAAGACGAGGAGTTGAAGAAAACCTACATGAAGATGATCGGGGATTTTGTCAGAACAGGGTAAGGGTGAGAGATGGACCCGATTGTTGTTTTTTTCCTTCGACTAGTGTTTTTTTTTTTCTTCTAGTTGTGTTTTTTGTTGTTGTTTGTACTTTTCCCTGATGACCTTGACCATCAATGATTTATTTATAGAGGCACCGGCCATCCAGATTTTTCCCGATGAC